AATAGTCCACTCTCTGGTATCAACTTCTGCGTTAGTTACTTTCTGTTGCTGTGACAAAATTACATGACCAAGGAAACTTATAGAAGGTGTCCCACTAAATTTTCCCCTTCCCACTCTCTGTTTGACCTGCCCTCACTTTTTCCAGGGTCTCTTGCTCAGGGCCCTATTGGACAAACCATATATCATATTTTTATCTGAATTTTTCATTTTATATCTTGGGTAGGGAGGGGGGAAATGGAGGAACTCACAAAGAAATGAACACCCGACACGGCACCCAGTTCTGCGCGGCTCAGCCCACCATTCCAGATCATTTCCGTGCCCGCCCATAGTCTCCATTAACTTTCACCCATGCATCTTGGGCCCGCGGTCTCGCTCCAGATCGGTAAATGCCCCCTCTCATGTCCACACAGGTGAGACACCAGGGCCATCTTTCTCTCCACACTGACGCTATGGACTGTTCCCGACTTCCATCCTAAGATGGCTCCCAGAAGCCCCCACCCCCACCCCCACCTCCCTGCTAACTCTCTGCAGTTGATTCTCTGCAGCAGGCCCTGCCCCTTGGAGACACCAGGCCCCTTGGGACACAGAAGGAAGAAGGGTTCACTTGGTTTACAGGTTAGAGGGCTAGAGTTCATAATGGCAGGGAAGACATAACAGATGGCTGGCCATCTGTTATGCAGGCATGGGAAGCAGAGAGAGACTGGAAATCTGGCAAGTCTTAACAACTCTCAAAGTCTGTCCCCAGTGATGTGCAACCTTCCAGCAAGTCCACACCGCCTAAAATCTCCCAAAACAGTGCCACCAACTAGGGCACAAAATGTCCAAATACTTAGAGTTTATGAGGGCATTATCATTCAAACCACCAGAAGAGATGAACTCTTCCTGTTTTTATACAATGCATTTGACCCCATATAGAATTACATGTCCTCTCCAGAAGGAAATCATCATGCTAACTACCTACTTAAGTCTTTTCAATTGTCACAGGTACAAGCTCAACAAAATATGTAATCTTGTCCCAATTGCCAATCTTTGGGCCCCATAATCTTGAGAGAAGTCAAACCTCCAGATGTTCATTCTACTGAACTTTAACAAACGGAAGTAACTCATGTAAATTCTTTTGGTCATTTTAAATTGGTCTACATAGTGTTGATACTTTTTAAAGCCTTTATTTTTGCTACTGCTCAAACACATAAATCTGCTTGAGCTGTTTAAAGACATTTATTAACTGCTTTTCTATAATGGGGGGTGTCCCAAAAAAAATCAAAACAAACAGTTGTCCTGCTTATGTAGCTAAAGCTTTCATCTCTTTTTGTCAGCTTTGTGGACTTTATGTCTCTCATGGCAGTCCCTTTATAACCACCAAAGACAAACCATAACTAAGCTAACTCATTTATTATTCAAAAGCTAAATAGATAAACAAAAAGGAAGAATTAAGAATTAATCTAAATCTTTGAAAAGCAAACTTATAATTTGGGGTTTTGTTTCATTGTTCCTCTCAATTTTCCCCCTTAATACCTGCACACAGCATCTAAGTCACAAGAAGTTTTACCAAAACCCATGGTTTTATAGCAATTCCCTTAAGGGTCAACTACTGGTTAGGTCCTGTTCTTCTCACTAATCAGAGCCAAGGCTCTGCATCCATGGTTGCCCCTGCAGGCCTCTGAATTGCAGCATGCCTGGTGAAGCCAGGCCAGAAGACCAAAACCTTGCAACAGAAGAGAGACCCTCTCCTGAATATCAACCTTATAAATAGCTATTGTTTGTTTGCATTCTCCTCAAAGTGTTGCCCTGCTTGTGCCACCTGTCCAGAGAATACCCAAGAGGACATCATGCTGACTCCTACCATTCCTCCAGCACACTTAACCAGCCCACTGCCAGTAACTACCCTGATGGACATCCTTCTTTCATCTAACATAAGGGAATGCTGAGAATGTTTGTTTGTTTGTTTTATCTGGGATTGTCTTCTTTTACAAGTATGGACATAATCTGCAATAATGACTTCATCTAAGCTTGCAACCCAAAAGTTACTGTTTATAATGTAAACAAGCTCACTTAGCTATCTGCTGCTCTTCTGGTCTGGGTACCTGACAGTAATCCCTCAGGACCCCACCTTGCCCTCTACCCAAGATAGTGAATGAATGTGGGTGTGCATGATTAACTATCAAAACACTGTTTCCAATTTGTTTGCAATTATGTTTGTGATAGTCTAGGTCAAGAGATCAAAGGGCGATATTCTCTGATAAGATAAGGGTGTATCCTAGCTCCTAATTCTCCAATTCATACTTTAGATACTGATTCAATGAAAGAATGAGTGAAGCCTGGTCGGAGAACACAGTTCTGCAAGACACTGGAGGAATGGTTCTCAGAGTTTGGGTCCACCCTTGGCCTTAAAGATGAATGCTGTATCTTTATTCACACTTGTCTGTAAATGTGGCTTAGAAAAGTCAAAGCACCTGATGAACTGAGTTCAATTCCTGGAACCCACATGATAAAAGGAGAGAACTGACTTCCACAAGTTGTCCTCTGACTTCCACATGTGTGTCATGGCATGCATAGTCCCACAGATATGCATACACATACCTAATTAATGAATTAATCAATAATAAAAACAATTTTAACTCAACAGAATGGATCATGTGGAAGACAAAATATAAGGACTTAAAGCCCAAGTATATGAATTAGAGCATTCACATAAGAATAAAGAAAACATGTACAAACAGAATTGACAAGTACAATGGGACACCATTCAGGAACCAAACCTACAAATGACAGGGATAGGAAGAGAAAAACAAGAAAAACAATATAGAAAACATAGTAAAATTACAAAAATTTCCCAGTTATCTAGATAGAAAAGGCATTTCGAGTTTAAGACCGATAAGTCCAGTACAGAACTTCCCCAGAACAAAGAAAAAAATATAGAATATTGAATACTACAAGAGAGAAGAACCAAGTCACATAGAGACAATCCCATCAGAATAATGCCACATCTCTTGGCCCTGACATCAGTGCCAGGTATGGGCTCCATCTTGTAAAGCAGGCCTTAAATCCAAAAGTGGTCAATCACTCATATAACTATTGTACCAGTGGACATATCATGCCAGGCCAGTTATTGTGGCTTATTGGGCTCACAGTTGAGTAAGACTGATGATTATTTTTCTCTTCTGGTAGTACACATAAAACTGTCCATCACTGTGAAAGCTATCCAGTAAGGATAAATTTTCAAGACCAGAACCAGTTTGATTCCTCTGTACTTAGCACATACCAGCTCATTTCCTCTATGTTGGTTCTACATCTCATGTAGGCAGTGTCTTCAGCAATAGGATCTTACCGTCAAGTGTTGCTGGGTAAACAAAAGCAGTGATAAGAGCCGGTATTGTTTGAGAGTCTATGGGATCTCCCTAGTCAACAGCTTCAAAAGAGAGAGTCCATTCCTGGGATTAAAGTGTTTATTTGCTAGCCTGTGGTACCTGGTAGGAGAATTGTTCTTCAGTCAAATAACTCCATTTATTTTTATACTGTACATATATGCATTTTAAGAAGCTTCTAGCCAGGTACGGTGGTGCATGCCTTTAATCCCAGCATTTGGGAGGCAGAGGCAGGTGAATCTCTGAGTTCAAGGGCATCTCTGATCTATATACAGAGTTCCAGGACAGCAGGGGCTACAGGGAGACCCTGCCTCAAAAATCAAGAAAAGAAGCTTCTATAGGGGCTGGAGGGATGGTTCAGTAGTTAAAAACACTTGCTACTTGTGCAGAAGACCAAATTCATGTCCCAGCACCTACATCAGGTGGCTCACAACTGCCTGAAACTCCAGCTCCAGGGGTTCTGATGTCTTCTTCTTATCTCACAGGCACACACACACACACACACACACACACACATACACACACACACACCCCACACACAATTTCTTAAATGACACTAGAGATGAATCAGGGTTAACAGACTCCAAAATCTTCCACCCAACATCTACAATTATGACATGTAATGAGGTGAAACCTAGGCTAGTTGGCTGAAGAATGAAAAATTACATGAGGAGCTGGAGCAGTACTGACAGCAGCTCAGTCAACAGAGAAGCCTCCCCACCCTGCAAATGTGTGAGAGAACAGACAGAAAAGAAATGAGACAGCCTGGTCCAGGCCAGCAAGATGGCTGAGTGAGTAAAAACTCTCGCCACAGAAGCTGGATGAACTTCCAGATTGCAGAGAGAGTTCAGTCTCCAGGATCCATAGTGGAAGGAGAGAACTGACTCCTGAAAAGTTGTATTCTAACCTCCATATGCACACCATGGCACATACACAACACACTCATACACACACACACACACACACACACACACACACACACAGTTATTTTTAAAAAGAGAGAGAAAGCCCAGTTCAGAATAGAAGAAATAATCAAGGCAAATTGTCATCATGAGCTAAATAAATGATTTTCTTATTAAACTACTACCTGAAATGTATGCCCATGCAGCTGTGCCTGATGGCATAATAATGGTTTCTTGCTTACAATAAAAATACAGACAACCTATCTGAATGGGAAATGATATAAGTAGGCACTTGACAAAAGAGGAAATTAAAAGCTAATAAATATACGAATGTGAAACCATATTAGTACCCAGAGAGGTCCTATCAGTTCTGCTCAGACATTTTCTCTCTTACTGCCATGATAGAACTTTGAGACAATAGTAGAAATGTACCTGTACTGTGCATATATCAACAATAATAAATGGGTCTGGGCCGGCAAGAGGGTGCAATCGGTAAGCGTTCCTGCCTCCAAGCCTAAAATCCTAAGTTAGACCCCAGGCCCGACACGGTGGAAGGAGAGAATCACTCCCACCAAAGGAAGCAAGAGGGTTCAATCGGTAAACGTTCCTGCCTCCAAGCCTAAAATCCTAAATTAGACCCCAGGCCCGACACGGTGGAAGGAGAGAATCACTCCCACCAAAGGATGTGTTAAGGATAGTTCGTAGGCGTCCGTGTCCAGAGCCCCCTCAGTACCTGCATGTTTTCTTTGATCCTCCCTTCACTAAAACTCTTGGCCAGGACCACAACCCCACGCTGAATCTGGTAGCGAAGGGCAATCGCAGCTGGACTTCGCTTGTACTTTTTCGCCATGGCACAAAGAACTGGATCATCCAAGAGAACTGGAGAGCTCTGGTCCACCCTGGAAAGGAAGCAGAAATGCTGAAGCCCAGCTCCCTGTCATTGTTAGGAGGCTTGCAAAACAGAAGTATCTTCTCCAGACAGAAGATAATACAACTGTTTTCTTTGGGCCAGCAGGGTCAATATCATGAAGGTTCTTCACAAAATGTAAATTATAGTTTTAGGACTAAAACAGTTTCAACGCTGGTACTTGATTAAACTCTGTTGTCCTTGTCACCTACCATACTTTATCTCGTGAACTTCCCAGAGTGCAATAAGCAACCAGCACAATGTCTTTTGACTTGCAGTAATCCAGCAGTTTGCCCTGGTTGAGATAAGGATGGCATTCTACCTATGTGTGGATGAGATAACAAGAGATCAGATTATACAAACTTCTCATGTGAAAGAGAAGCACGTAAGTGAATGAACTTGAACTTTTAAACAATTATATGCTAACTAAAAGAGAAAAAGTTTACAAGACATTCTAAGGAAAAGCAATGAGACATTTAAATGAAAAGTGAATAATTGTAAAAATTGTAATTTTCTGAGATCGGAGAGTTCAACTCTGATGAAGGAGGACATCTTCATTCTCTGTGTGTGGTCTATGTATGTGTGTGTACATGTACGTGGGTGTGCATCCTGTGGATGCACTTGTAGAGGCTAGAGGTTGATGCCGGGTGTCTTCCTCTATCACTCTCCACCCAATTTTTTGAGACAGAGTCTCACGCTAAACCTGTAGCTCACCAGTTAACTAGACCAGTTGGCCAGCAAGCTCCCAGGATCCTCCCATCTCTGCCTCCCATTCCTGGAATGACAGGCACACACAGTCATGCTTGGCATTTTACATGAGTGCTGTAGATAAGAACTCAGGTCTTCATGTTCGCATAGCAAGGACTTTGCCTACTGAGCCATCTCCCTAGACTGAATATTTTCATTATCAAAAGCTTTTTTGAGCCAGGCATGGTGGCGCATGCCTTTAGTCCCAGCATTCAGGAGGCAGAGATAGGCGAATCCCTATGAGATGGAGGCCAGCCCAGTCTACATAGCAAGTTCCAGGTCAGGGAGACAAAAAGACAAAAAAAAAAAAAAAAAAAAAAAAAAAAAAAGAGAATCTAGATGACAGAACTAAGTACTGAAGAGATGTGCTTAAATAATCAATTTGATGTCAGAAACCAAGGAGGAGAAGTAGACTCCATTGTGGTCAGGCATGGGATCAGCTCAAAGTGTTCTGCTAAAAGTTCCCTGAAAGCCCACCATTACTTCACCATAGCCAATGTTCTAGTTTGCTTTCCACTACAGTGCTGGAAAAAAAAAAAAAAAAAAAAAAACAAACACTCACCAAAGCAAGTTGGGGAGGAAAAGGTTTATTTCATCATACACTCCAATGATTTAGTTCATCTTTGAGGGAAGTCAGGCAGGAACTCAAGGCAGAAACCTAGAGGCAGGAGCTGAAGCTGCCTACTGGCTTGTTCCCCCTGGCTTGCTCAGTACCCTCCTATACGGCCCAGATCCACCTGCCTAGGGATAGCACCACCCATATGGGACTGGGCCCTTCTACATCAATTGCTAATTAATAAAATGACGCATAGACACGGTATAGCCCAATCCAATAAAGGTAATTGAGGTCCCCTCTTCTCAAGTGCCTCTGGTTCGTGTCAACTTGACGAAAACTGACCGGCACACCAAATAAGATCTCTCGCTAATCTAGATGAATTTTATAGCTTTCAGTTAGTTTTTCTGTAGCTGTGACTATGGCCAAGACACATGAAGGCAGAGATGCTAGGGCCAAGGGTACAAGCATCTGACATCCATTTCCAAACAATCAGTCTTTTACTTTGACTCTGTCTTTGTTTACTGCCAAGTCTGTCTTTTCATGATCTTCCTTCCTGTACACAGTCCCTTCACAGCATCTTCCTTCATCCAGTCTCTTCATAGACGTAGACTAAGTGCATCTCTCCTGTGGTCTGACATAACCATTGCCCTCTTCTATTACCTTTCCCTCCTTTGCTTCTTATTTGAAATATAGCCCTAAGACATTCCCAGTGTTCACTGTCATACCAAGCAAAGCCACAATGGAGGGACTTTGTTCTCTCAGACAGACCCTTCTCTCAGAATCTTCTGCCCATAAGGAAAAAAATGAACAAGACTAGACAACGAATGGAGAGGTGGTGGTAGTATAGAAAAACTAGAATGAGGATTAAAATGCCAAGTGGTGGAGAGAGCTCACCTGGTTGCACACAGGCTTGTACTTGAGCCCTGGCTTGTTCAGGATCATCTCCAGCTGCCTGCGGTTGAAGTTGGACACCCCAATGGACTTGGTTAATCCTGCGTCCTTACACTTCTCCATGGCCTGGGGAGGAAGAGATTGTGAAAGATAAATTGTGCAGTTGTTCTAAGAAGTAGTATTAAAAGGACTACTTTCAAGAAATGCTGATAGAGCTACTGACTTTGATTGTCTAGAGGAGGAAAATCTATGGAGAAAATCAGGGTCAAAAGCTGTGAAAGCAAGAAAGAATTCCTCTATTGTCTTTAGGAAACAGGTGACGTTACTACGTGTAATCCCCATTATCCTCAATTACTGTCCATTTCTATCACTTTCTGTCAATTAATTCCTCCCACCCTTCCATCAAAACAACCCTTGTAAAAGTTACGAATTTCTAGATCAAGCCATGCATCTCCCATTTTCACAGGTGGTCAGATGGGATCTCCCTCTCCCAATGTCCTCCTCTGTATCCAAGGACTCACCTCCCATGTGTCACAGAGATCCACTGCTTCAAACAACAATTTTCCATGTTTATCTCTTGGAAGTAGTTCATCTCCAGGCTGGAATAGAAACAGTCGTTTCAGAGACTTCATCAAATTCGTGTTGTCACATTTTGTCCCATTGCCAAGTACTGTAGGAACTAAGCTGATTAGGCCTTCATGATTAAGTAGGTGGGACAATGTTTTAGATACTGACACTTGTGAAGTATTTTGCATTTGGAAAGACAAAGGACTGCCCTTTAGAGACTGGCTTCCTCTAGTCTTTTACAACTTTCTTATGTTTAGTAAACGCTGTTTTCCAGGTCCCAATAAGACCTATATGATTTATGTTACTTTTTCAGCCCCTATATTTGAGACAGGAAAATCTCTCTTTCTGGTAAAGGCAATAATTACATGGACTTGACATCTGGCAATAACGGATTATGTCCATGATTCAGGCAATACAGTTCCTTATCCCTCCTGATACAAGAATCAAACCAGGCCACCAATATGATTTTCTTTTCAATATTAATGTGGATGTTGGAAAACCAGGGTAGCAAATTTTACAGCCCATGAATCTTGAACTGCCCCAACCAATAGAAACGATGCTCAAAAGCTAAATAAACATGATGTAGATGCAAGGGATGGAGGAAAGAAAGCATTTCTGAAGACTTTAGTACCTCACTTTTTTAAATATAAAGGCTTAGTCTTCCCAATCACGTACTTAATAGCCTTCAGTGCACAAACTAGCTAAATAATTTTGTTCATATCAGAATTCCACATAATACAGTCTTTAATGACTAAGTATCATCTAAAAAACTCTGTCATGAAGCTATCAAGAGAGACAACACTCAAATCCCCAAGGACCAACTCAACAGATCTACTTTCAGCAATTATGAGGGATGATGGACGTCATTGTGATGCATGTATATAGCAATTTTATTGATTTCCACCACCACAGGAATTGCTGTGCTCTGTAAACACCTTCAGAGGCTAAGGAGGGACTGACGAGATAGCCCAGTCAGTAAATTCCTTGACTTACATGCTCAAAAACCTGAAGGTGATCCCCAGAACTTACATTGAAAACCCAGCAGAAAAAAAAAAGCCAGTTGTGGTGGTTCATGTTTATAATCTCAATGTTGAGGAAACAGAAACAGATCCCTGGGGATCACTAGCTAGGAAGCCAGCTACTTGGAGGGTCCCAGGCCGGTGAGAGACCTTGTCTCCAAAAAAAAATAAATAAAATGGTGAATGGCAGCTGAGAAAAAAAATACCACAAGTTATTCTCTGGTCACTACATGCATAAGCATGTGAGCACACACACACACACACATACACACACACATACACACACACATGCGCGCGCGCACAAATGCACATATGCAAATATGCATGAAAACAAAGACCAGCACTATGCCTTGTATACCACTAATGGTTTTTCTTTCTTTCTTTCTTTCTTTCTTTCTTTCTTTCTTTCTTTCTTTTTCTTTTTGAGGCAGAAGAATATTGAGCTCTTTTCTCTTAGAAGCAGGGAATCAAATATTCAAAGATTATTCTATAAGCAGTGAATCCAGAATTATTATTAAACACAATCACCAAAATAATAATCCATACATTCATTCAAGAAAAAATTCTTAAATATTATTAAATGCTGGTTATACTGACATCTCTAAAGAGAGATTGCTTACCTGCGAGGCAGAAGAATATTGAGCTCTTTTCTCTTAGAAGCAGGGAATCAAATATTCAAAGATTATTCTATAAGCAGTGAATCCAGAATTATTATTAAACACAATCACCAAAATAATAATCCATACATTCATTCAAGAAAAAATTCTTAAATATTATTAAATGCTGGTTATACTGACATCTCTAAAGAGAGATTGCTTACCTGCAAAGGCATTGGAAAATGGATCAAAAAGAGATCAACATAGTCAAATTGAAGTTTCTTCAGTGAATGTTTCAGAGCTGATTGGACCAATTCAGGTCGATGGAAAGTGGACCATAGCTGCAGAAGTTAAATAAATGAAGCCCTGAACTCATAATTTCTTCAATTTTGTGCAGTTACTTCATCTAATACAGACATTTTTCTACAGGTTAGAAATGAATGACCATATCGGAAACCCTTCGACTTCTTTTGTTTCCTTTCATCCATTTTGCACATAAAAACTTCATCATACGTGTGATCAATGGCTCCACCCCTGACCAATATCCCTTAAATTTCACTATATATTTAGTTATTGTGAGTTTGCCTACTGAACATGGAATGAAGGTATTTAAGATATATTGTTTCCTAGATAATAATGTTCACAATCTGAATTATGTTTGAGTTTGCAAAGTAAAAGGCAAGCTTAGTCCAAATCTCTTATTCATTCAGCTACATAGGGAAGAATTTGTATCCTTTTGATGTGCATAATTGAAGGCTGCCAAGAAAATCTGATTGGAACATATTAGTATATGCTGATACAACTGCATACACTTTAACTACCTTTTTAAGACCCAAAGAACTCTCATATTGATTTTTCTTACTGCCAACATGGAAAAAATTTTACATTAAAAATAAATTTTAGAAAGTCAGCCAGCAGATAAAAAGGCTATAATTTGATCACAGTTCTGCCAAGCTCTATATCCCAAGATGAACCACACTGACCTAAGATTCAGAATGGTATATTTACATTAAAGTCATAAATTTTGACATCCCAATGATGACCAAGCCATCATCTTTATCTACTTTTATGCTAGACTGAATACATGAATATGCATGAACAAAACTGTATCAAAAGCATAATTAATAAAAAAGGTATTGGTCTAAACATGTATCATCACCTCTGTACAATCACATTAAACATCCCACAAGCATTCTGTATTCATGATACCTTTGTAGTATAGAATATGTCTTCTCTCTTCACAATGCCATCTGCAATCTTGCTTCTGATGACCATCCCTACTTCCTCTTCTACTTGGTAGCAATAAGCACAATCAAAATGGCGAAACCCAGCATCTATAGCTATTTTGGTGGCCTTGATAAGTTCACTCTTAGGAACCTAGAGGAGCAACCAAAAATAGTATTTGGAGATCAATGTAGTGAAATCTATATCAAATACAAACAGGGTCCTGCCAATGAATCAACTCTCTTATGTCTTGGACTCATTCCAATTTGCCTGGATCTCTTTCAATCAATACTAGAAGGTGCGCATACCAGAAACACATTCAGTCCAGAGCAATCGCTAAGTTATTGCTGGCACTGTAAGTCCAGAAGAATACTCCACATTCAGGGTTTTGATGGAAAGATTTATAGGACTAATTGAAGCAGGAAAGAAAGAGAAGGAAAACTTCAAGGACATGGAAAGAAAAAGGAGCCTCTCATCCCAGAGTCTGATTGAATTGAAGCCTCTCAGCAGCTGAGAATCAAGAATTCCAGTAAAATAAACAATATGTGCTGTGAAGGCTGCTGAATTAGAGGTAATATTCCTTCCACATATAGATGCAGTATGTTAAAATTGCAATGAGCCAGGCTTAAAGCCTGAATGTATATAACAGGGTAGGGTCTCCTTTCTTTTCCTAGATATTTCCTGGGAATCTCAAACACAATCCGTCAGGATGGCTGGCAAACCAACCTATCCTACTTGCCAAGTTTCAGGCCAATGAGAAACTCTGTTTCAAGGAAAATATGGTGGAAAGGTAAATAGCATCAGAGGAAAGATATACAAGGTTTATCTCTGTCCTCCTCACACAGGAGCATACATGTACATGTACACCCATCACACACACATGCACCCACATAAACATGACCAGACATACACATACACACAAGAAAGTGTATGTGTTAAAAGAAACAGAATGAAGCTGTTCTATTTTTTTTTTTAAGAATTTCAGAAACTTACTTTTTTCAAATGAATTACAAAGGCTAGGTAGTGGGTCTTATTGCCCTTCTCTTTTTTCCAAAGTTATTATTTTTATTTCATCTCTACAAAGCATACAACAGGCAATCTGCAATCACGACTTCAGGAAAAATACAGAGGAAATTAAAGCAGGTTAAGTTCATAGAAAAGATTTTGTTTACATCAAAAGAATTCAAGTAGCTAGTAATCATTTAATAACAGTTCATTGCATGCTAACAAAATATTCTTTCATGTAGAACAAATTGTAAGATGATGATCAAATAACCATAACTGTACCGGTACAAAGGAACTAACCAGCTCCCAGATCATCAAATGTTGAAATCAGCTTGGTAATGCTTAATGAAATGTCAGCTACTGAGAAAACCCAACCTTCAGACTTTGGTCAAGGTCCTAGAGCTCTGTCTGGATTTTGGGACAGAAAATAGGGGAGAGTCAACAACATATTTCCAACATCTCGTTTTCAAGGTCTGCTGAAAACCTACCTCAAACAGGATTTGCAAATACGAGAACTCAGAGAAAGCATCTTGTTTTGTTGAGTGGTACATGCACCATTTCACCACTGCTTTCATAACAACATGTGCTTAGCAGTCATTTCCAATTTCTCTTTTTGGTAGGTCTATTGCTAATGAAGTCTATAAAATGAGATGTTAGAATCTTACTGCACTAATTTTTTATTTGCTGAATCTGCTCAGCTTAGCAAGCATAATTGGATACAAACTGATAACATGTTATACAATATTTTGATGACCTGCACTACATTTATACATTACACAGAAATTACGTTGTATCTCATTAACAGATACATAGGCCTGCCTGACACACCTAGCAGAAAAAAAATAATAACTTCAGCATTTCTGTAACTCATCAATATTGTATAATAAAGGCTTACAAATTGTTGACACAGAAATAACTGTAAAGTGCAGTGAGCTAAGAAAAAACATTTTGAGGTTTGTTTATCTTTGTTATATAACGTAACACCATATCTGTTTTGGTAATAAGATTCCATGAATTTAAGGCATTTTAAAATAATGCCAGGTAACCAGGTCATATGAACTATGAAACAGATAATGTCTGATAAAATGAACAGTAATGGGGCTGGAAGAGATGGTTCAGTGGTTTAGAATGCTTCCTGATCTTCTTGAGGATCCGAGTTCTGTTCTGAGCACCCACACCAGGTAGCTCACTATTGCCTGTAACTCTATCTCCACAGGATCTGATATCTTCTCCTGGCTTCTGTGGGCATCACCATATACATGTCCACCCATACCCTGTCACATACCAAAAATAAAATAAATGTTTTTTTTCAAAATAGAAATGCTGATGATTATTATATTGTCTATGTGGAACTAAGAATGATACTTAATTCAAGTAGGGTGAAATAATAACTCCGCGAAACAGTAAAACAAAAAGAAGTTATGTAAACCAAAAAATACCACACAAAAATATCTACTTGTGCAGGGCATGTGGGCTCACATCTTTAGCTTCAGAGGGAGGCAGATCTCTATGAAATCAAGGCCAGCCTGGTCTACACATGAGTTTTAGGCCAACTGGGGCTACAGGGAGAACTTATCCCAAAACAAAACAAAACATATTAGTGATGATCCTATTATTAAAGAAAACATCCCTATGAATAAAGCATAGATCACATCTGTCGCATGAAATCAGTTCCAGTACCTTTGTGTTCAGTATAGTAGTTGGCTTCTTTAAATTTAACTTTATCATAAGTTCTGTCATTGAAAACAAATCAATGATTTAGCTATACTATATGTATAATTCATATGTGTATTCCAAAATTTTAAGGAAAAGATGTAGCTTGTGAAGAATATAATAAAAATCTATTTATTTAAAATGCTGCATGGACATAATTCTTATCTTACCAACAGAAAAGATAGTATGAAAATCTATTGCAAAAATTTTATTTATGTGTTTGTGTGTGTGTGTGTGTGTGTGTGTGTGTGTGTGCGCGCGCGCACGCGCCATGGTGTACATTTGAAAGTCTGAGAAAAACTTGTGAGAATTGGTTGTCTCCTTCCACCATATACAAGAATCTAGCTCAGTGCATCAGGCTGCCCCACACAGTTTTCCAGAAATTGTTTTTCCTGTGTCAGTCTGTCTAGACACTGTGATGTTCCTTCTTAGGCACGTTCCCTTTGTCTCTCTTAATTCCAGCCTGTGCTTCTTTGGGTTGTATCAGCCTAGAGATGCTGAGCTGCAGTTGTGGTATCTATGTTCCTTTCCTCTTTCAATCTAGCACATGTTATGAAGTAAAAATTCCTATCAAAGTGGCCCAGATGTCTACGCTATTGTGTCTCCTATGAGCAAGTGAGATTCAAGCTTGAAGTGCTGGTCCTTGTCACTCAATGCATAATCTGAAGTCGTTGTTAGGATGGAAATGTTTTCCCAGTCTAGAGTCTATCCATCTGCTCATGTTCATGCTACAGAACCTCCTCCCAACATTTTGATTCAAAGTCCATGTATACAAACATGGACCAAGAATTTAGATTTGCCTCATCAGGGTATAGTTTGCCCCAATACATCTTGCCTTTTCCTTTGACATAAACCTTTCAAAAATGAAAGTAAGAAATATAAATTCCGTTTTAGCACAAATCTAATATTTGTTCTGTGGTATTCAGCAGTTACTCCTCAGAAAAATATGATGCTCCCTCATCACTTTCCATAAACCTCTCCAGTAACTTCCAACACAATGTTTTATCTAGATGATATCAATCTGAAAAGAGTAAAGATTTCTTGAATCACAGAGATAATCAGAGGAACTAATCCTCTTGCAGTAGAAATCAAAGGTATGACTTAACCAACAGTGACCTTGAGGTTACCTTCCATCTACTGCCAGACAGACTGACAAAATAAAAGGATAAAACAAGTCCAGAAGACACAGTAGTGTTCACATGATGAGACACATATACAGTAGCATGACTATCCTATTATACATGGAAAATTCTAACCTGAAGACACTGACAAGTTTCACAGGAACACAAACCTGGAAATTCTAAGCAGTTTCCATCCATCCTGATGCTATGTTCTTATCAACCCTCAAACCCAAGATTCAATTGTTACCTTGTCAGGCACAGCTGTTCCAAACCCCAGAGCAGGGATGAAGTGACCATCATTTAGTGCCACATGCAGGAGGCTGGGATCCATAACTTATCACTCACACAGCTGAACAAGCTTTACTCTTTCTGTTTGCATAAAATGAAAAGCCAGCAGGATGTTAACAGAGTTTTAAATATCTGTTCAAATGTTGAGTAATGGCTTGTGGGAGGAGCACATTTAAAGTGGTATTCCACCCAGGAGAGAATTACACATTTTCATGAGACTAAACTCTTCAATAAATATACAGAGAAAATGAAACCTTTGTTTTTTTAATATTTTATTTGTGATTTTTATTTTATGTGTATGCGTGTATTGCCTACATGTTCGTAAGCGCACCTGTGTTGTGCAATGCCTGTAGAGGACAGAAGAGACTGTCAGATTCCCTGGAACTGGAGTTACAGACAGCTGTTAGTTGCCACGTGGGTGCTGGGATTCACACCTGGGTCTTCTGCAAGGTCAGTGTTCTTAACGCTGAGCCATCTCTCCAGCCTGATACAGTGGAAATGAAACCTTTAATCTCTTGAGAAGAAAATTCTCTCTTCACAGTCTACATATATTGTGAATTGTTATATTGCCTAGCAAAAGTCTTCAGCTGTCAAACTTGTTTTTGACATGAAAAAAGTATCTCTTCATTTTTTTCTTTCTACAAAATAATATTCTTATGACTTTTCCACACATGTATATTTTGATCATATTTATGTCTCCCCACTATCCCTGTTCCCCCCTCACTGTCCCCTAAAAAGTTCCCCTTCTACAATTTTGTATTTTTTCATCACATGTAAGAGAATGCATGAGATGTTTGCCTTTCTGAGTTGGGATTATTATGTTCAACATAATGACCTTCACCAACTTTTACCCACTGTTGTACAAATAACAAAATTTGGTTCTTCTTTATGGCTGAATAAAAAGCTATTTGTGTGTGTATATGTGTGCATATATATATACATATATGTCACATTTTAATCTATTCATCCACTGATTGGCACCTAGGTTGATTCCATATGTTAGCTATTGTGAATAGTCCCATAATAAACATGGGTGTACACTGTAGACTGACTCTGATTCTTTTATATATATATCCAGGAATATAGTGAGATCATGTAGTAATTTTAGCTTTTGGAGATTCTCCACGCTGGTATTTATAAGGGCTGAAGCAATCTGTGTTCCCAGCAGCACTGTATAAGGGCTCTGCCACCTCCCTTCCTCAACAGCCTTTGTTATTCTTTGTTTTCTTGATGTCAGCCATCTGATTGGTGTGAGACAGAACCTCTCTTTTTGATTTGCATTTCTTTGATGGCCATGGACATTTTTATGCATGCAGCAACCACTCTTGAGTTTCTCATTTTTATTGGATTATTTATTCATTTAATGGTTGATTTTTCCGTTCCTTACATGTTCTGGATATTTATCTCCTGTGAGATGAGTGACTGGCAAAAATTTCCTTCTATTACACAGGCTGCCTCTTCGCTCTGGCAACCGTCTCCTCTTCACATCACTGTATTTTCTCCTGTATTTCAATGCCAACATTGGCACACCAGTTGAGAAGGATTCTCTTCTGCTTTTACGTGAGGATCTTGGTGACCAGCGTCAAGGCTCCATCTTCCATCCCACTCGGAGAAGAGAAAACAAACTAAAGTAATAATTCTCATTGTCTCTGCTGTGAGTGATGGGACGTGAAACTGAGCGGAGCACCCTTGGAGGTGATAGCAACATGTCATCAATCCCTTGGTGGTATGAATGGTAGGCCTTTAGCTGCAGAAGCAGCTGCATTGTCCCTGTAATGGGTGAACAGACATGCAACTAACACTGCCTCCTCTAAACACAGGGTGTCCACAGGGGAGATCCCAGCATGGCCATCTTCTTCTGTATCACATGGACTGGCTCACCTCCTTGATGAATGGGCTCTGCCACATGAGAATAGGGATGCCTTAAGACAGCTGAGGGACTGAAGAACATACTACAAGCCCTGAGAGTAACACATACACAGTGGAGTCGTAAGCAGACTATCAGTTGGGTGGCCTTTGGTCTGGGCAATAGGATATAAAACTGAGCTGTGTACTCAGAACGAACTTGCCTGAGTAAAGAGAGGCATTCCAACAAGAAAAAGACATTGGATGCATGACCTTCCTGCACAAACAGGGGAAGGTGATGACAGTACATCCTGGGTATAGTCTAAGGGAATAAAAGAAATTATTGAGTCATGGGCAACATAAGACAGGATGATATCAGCCTTAAAAACATAATGTCATAGATGTGGTTTCCCACTCGACATGTGAGGTGAAAGATGGGGCATTCAGTATCTAGGGTCTGGTAATTATAATCACTCCTATTAGTCAGTTTTCAGCAGAAATGCCCATCTTATTGAAAATGGCCCCTTGGAGGGGGAGGAGCTCCCAGTCCCCATCCCTAGGTGAGGAGCTGCTGGGAGAGGTAGAGTCAGTTTTCTCTAAGTGTTGTGGTCCCTGGTAAGAAGACCATGCTGAGTGGATGGCTCCATATCCATGTATGTGTATATGGGCAGCACAAACTGGACTCAGTGGATTACAAAAAAATTTTCCTTAGAAAAGAGGACATGAAGTTGGAAGTATGACCGAGGTGGGGGTGGACATAGGAGGAGTTAGAGGGAGTAATGGGGGTGGATATGATCAAAATACATTACATACATATATGAATTCTCAAATAATTAATACAAATATTACATTTTAAAAAAGGAAATCGTATCTAATGCTCCCACTCCTCCACATGCCCTTTATTCCTGAGTTTTTCTCCAAGCCACTGCCAAGCATAAAAAAGATCTGGGATTTTAATCTGACGTGAATTAAAAAATAAATAAATTAGCTTGATATGTTTTTGTGCGTTGTGGTAGAGATGCTGAAACTTCTGAGTCGGAGATGAACGACAGTTTATTATTCAAGACAATATCTGTAGTCAAAGTACTGATGTTTTTATGCTGGTTCCTGAAACTCTAATTTCCAGAGCATGGAGCGAAGGGATTTAATGATTACTTGGATATTCAGTAGGTTGAGGAATGAAAAAAAAACGCTTCGAGTATTGGGAGCCCAAATTACTTGTAATAGACAGTAAGCACGGCTTCCCTTTGACTAGAGAGACTTTTGTTGTTCATTTTATTGGACACATCTTACAGTTCCTTGGAGACAGCTATTGTCTCTGCATGCCAAGACCATTCACTATACAAAATATTTGAACAAATAATGTAGAATGGAAGACAGTCTGTCTTCTGCTTATAACATGTAAAGAAATGCAACAAGCCATAAATAAGTAGATAAGAAAAAACTGAAGAAAAAAAATAAGTACAAAATTTCAAAAGAAAATTAAGAGGTCAATTAGAATTGCCTTCCAGTAGATATTTGCCCTTTGGGAAGATTCATTTTTATTTTTTTATATGTGTATGCATGTGTGCTTATGTGGGAATAGGTGCATCACAGTGCAGTGCCCACAGAGGACAGAAGAGGATGTAGGATCTCCTGGAGCTAGAGTTACAGGTGGCTGTGAGCCTCCGGACATCAGCGCCGTGACCTGAACTTGGGTCCTCTGTAGTAAGTGCTCTTAACCGAATGTTCTCAGTTGCTAAGTGTTCTTCCCACCACCTCCACCCTCTTTCTAACTGAATGCTGCTGGTTTTCTTTGGTTTGTAGCCTACTTCCTCAGTAGATTTATATACTCAAAACATTTTCATGTAAGCTTAATCTAATGTTCCTAATTTATGATAAAATAATACCTAGGAAAGATATTCAGCAAAGTTTTACTAGAAAAATAAAGGAATGAAGGGTACTACCAAGTAATTAAAATGTCAACACCTGCTCTGATAACTGCCCGACTTTCCTTTCAGTTACTGTGATCAATACCATGACCAAAAACCAATGTGGCAGAGGAAAAGGTTGAGGGATTCAGGACAGGAACTCAAAGCAGGAAGCAGGAGGCAAGAACCATGGAGGAACACGTACTGACTTGCTACCTCTGGCTCCTACTCTGCCATCTTTCTCATGCAACCTAGAACCACCTGGCTAGAGATGGTGCCACCCACAGTGGCCTGGGCCCTCCACATCAATCAACAATCAAGACAGTTCTCCATAGGCTAATCTGATCTGGGCAATCCCCCAGTTGAAACCCCCTCAAATAACTCTGGAAGAATAATTAAGAAATTAAATAAGTTAGGGATTGGAGAGATAGCTTGGTGGTTAAAAGTACTGGCTGCTCTTATAAGCAGAGGAAGCAGGTTCAGTTCCTGGCACACACATGGCAGCCAACAACCATCTGTAACTCCAGTACTAGAGGATAGGATGCCCTCTTCTGGCTGCTCTTGCCAATGCATACATGTAGTACACTTACATACAAGCAGGCAAAACACTCATTCACATAAAAAAATTCAAAAAGAAATTTTTCATTTATTATTTTTATTTTTTATGTGTATGAGTGTATCACCTGCATGTATGTGAGTGCAAGTATGTCGTGCAATGCCGAGGAGGTCAGAAGAGGGCATCGAATTCCCTTAACTGGAGTTAAGGTCGATTCATAGCCTCCGTATAGGTGCTGGGAATCGAACCCAGGTCCTCTGCAAGAACAGCCAGTGCTCTTCACCACTGAGCTATCTCTCTAGCCCCATAAATCAAAAAAAAAATTTAAAGAAATCAAATAGGTTATAAAATTCATTTATTTACAACCAGAAAAGTACACTGAAATTATTGAATTTATTGACCATTTAATAACTTGAAGAAAATATATTTAAAAAGCATATAATCCATGTGTTGGAATTGATTTTAATTTTGTAAATAAGAATGCACATGAAAAAAATTATTAACAGCCAAGAAAAATGCATCAAATGATCCTTTTTATTTTATAAATTCTCTGCAATTTGTATTTTTTTTTAATCATCAGGAAAATCAAATATCTTCACTGTGTTTTTCAGTGACAATGCAAGAAGAAAAAAAAACTCAAAGTAGGAAGACTGCCTCCTAGCCACCACCAAGACAGAGAGTCACTGCTGGGAGGAAGGAAACCGGCAGAAACAGCCACAGCTCATGCTCAATATTCTTCTGAATACGGGTAGTAAGGGTGATCAACCCCACTGAAAGAGAAGAGAAATTCGTTTCTTCACTATCCATACTTTTTTCCACCCCGTCATAAGGTAACTCCACTCAAACTCTTTTTATATATGCAGATGTATATATTCTAGGAAGTTTCTACACTACTGGACCACTCTTGATGAACAAAATGACGTCTGAGTCAGGCATGGTGGCACATGCCTTTAGTCCCAGAACTGGGGAAGCAGAGACAGGCAGATCTCTGTGAGATGGAGGCCAATCTAGTCTCCATAGTGAGTTCCAGGTCAGCTGGAGCTACAGGGAGACCCTGCCTCAAAAATAAAAGTTACATTTGAGGAGTAGTCTTGACTTGAAGACCCAGAGGAAATTCAGAGGATTCTGTCTTGCTAAATGTAATAGATTTGTGAGTGTGTGATCGGGTGTCAAGGTATGCATGTTGAAGTCAAAGGACAGCTTTGTGGATCCATGCTCTCCTTCCACCTTTATGAGTGCTCTGGGGACTGAACTAGGGTCACCAGCCTTGCATCATAAGCACCCTTACCTGCTGAGCCATCTTGCTCACTTGATTCCATGATTTCCTACATTAAAATTTGTGAGATTACAGAGCTAAGGAAACAGGGATGGTGACAGGGAAAGAAAGACAAAGGTTCGGAAACAATGAGGTGTCTCAGGAAATGGCATTAGACACAGAGAGGAGGACATGGAAGTCGGGCAGACTAAGATTTTCCTAGGGCTTACACAAATCACCTTGGAGAGTCCATCTTCCATAAAGATTATTAAAAGTACACGTTATGCTGCTTTAGTGTAGACAGAGTTAGAACAGGTGGGTGTGCTATTATATATTTATTATTATTGAATAATTTTTCTTTTTCTTTAGATTTTAACATGCATCAAAGTGAACATGGACCCCTTAATATATCACAAGTCATGGTAATCTGCCCCATGTCTGTTGGGTAGGTGGACCCTGAGTACAGGACTCCAGGAACAGGTCATAAGGTCATAAAATAGTCAATTCAGAGTAATGCAAACTTTGCTGCTTTTTGTTTTTGTTTTTGTCTTTTGAAACATGGTGCCATGCATCCCATGTTGGCCTTGAACACACTGTGTAATAAAAGATGATCCTGAATTTCTCATCCTCCTGCTTCAACCAAGAGGCATATGCCACTACACCCAGGTTTATGTGGTAGAAGAGACCAAATACAGGGCTTTGTGCATTCTGGATGAGCACTGTACCAACTGAGGTAAGACCCAGATTTGGCTCATTTTGAAATGGGTTGGTTCTAGATCTCACTACAATTCTATCATGAGCTCAAGAGGAAACCTCTCTTCTGGGGTCTATAGGAAAGCTCCTGCCATAGACCTGTGCTGAAGATCAGGTATGTCTTCTGTAATGAACATTACGGTGGTGAATTGTCATGTGGTGTTGGAGCTCACAGAGAAGCTGGCTTAAAGCAGAGTTGTAGCCACCCCCCATTTCAGTCCTACGCTTTTTTGTCTCAAAGCATCCTCCAAGGCGCCCCATCTGGGGGTGGCCTTCCCCTCCCTACTCTGGACAGGGAGGGAAGATAACAAAAGAGTATCAAACACTGCAGCATTGGGAGCAGCCATAAGGACCAATAATGTAAAATGCCTGCAGTGGGAAAGAGATGCCAGTTCAGTCATGGAAAGGTTGTCTGTGGATAAAAAGCTCAATCAGGAATTCCAGCTGACTGCCTCAACTTCCCCAGCCAGTTTCTGCTGGATGTTGGTGTACAAGTCCACCATAGCATCCGTTCCAAAAAACTAAAATTAGAGCACAGAACCCTCAACATTTGTCCACTCAAGCACGCTTGCCCTGCCCTCCTGAGAGGCTTTATTGGAAGCTCAGCATTTGAAGTTCACACATGGTTTGCATATGACAAGTGCTCAAACAGTGCAAAACACAGGACTCTTCCCATCGTGATGGCAGGAAAGCAAGGGCAGCTCGCCCAAGGCTGCGGCCCCTGGCCCAGTAACAGACCTCCATTGATGTTGCAAACATGGGAGAAGTATAATAATAACCTGTTTCCCAGCATTCTGGAAACAGCTATCTTATCAGTCTGCTCACAGCATACTGGGAGCAGACTTCTCCCTCGCAAGCCTCCACATCATCAAAGCCCAAAGAAGTCTGTTAACTCTTAGTGAGCCAAGTGCCAGGAGCCTGTTAACTATTAGTGAGCAGAGTGCTATTGTCCTTAAGGGCCGGGGCAGAGGGGTGTCTCTTCATGTTGGAAGCATCTGATTTGATGATGTTATTGCTATCTTCTATTTGTTCTATTACTTGGAAACCTCGCTTGAGGGACACTCTGCTGTCCCCAGGACTCTCTCTATTGAGAACGCTAGCTGAATGCCTTAACTTCCCCAATTAGTTTCTACTGAATAGTTGTCAGGCCCTGATCTGATGATGCTGCCTTTCTGCTATTTGCTGTTCATTTACTTGGAACCCTCAACCTAGAGGACTCTCTGCTGTGGCTGGGAATCTCTCTACTGGTAACTCTACCTGACTGCCTTAAAGGGGCTTCCCCAGTCAATTTCTGCTGGATGATTTTTGAGCACACGAGTTGATGGTGTTCTGCTGTCTAACTATCTATCTTTTGCTATTTATTCTTTTACTTTGACTTATTATATACTTAAACTTGGTCATTCAAAACCAAAAGTATAGTTATCACAGATCTTTCTCCTGGCCATGCAGAACATCTTCATGGCTCAGTTGCATGCTACAAAATGTAAACAGCCCATGAAGCAGTCTAGAAGAGTCACTTACAATTCCATTTTAGTATATCGGAAATTTCTGTTGAGGCCATCAATTGCTTTCATGTCCTCTGGGGTCAATTCAAAGTCGAATGCCTAGAAGGAAGGACAGGTCACATTGAAGCTTGCACCTGGGAAGCTTCCCTCTCCCGGGGAGAAGGAGGGGGACAGCAACGAAAATGCTTAAAGGGATGTGTCTTTGTCAGCACCGGCTTCCGGGTATTCTGGGTCCAAGAACACTTGGCTGAGTTCTGCCACCTCTCCTATCCCATTCCTTTGCATTTCATGAAGAAACACATGCAACTCGTCAATCCCAACTCTAAGCAAGGCAGGAAAAGAAAAATAACCCCAAATCCCAAAATAAATGTTTACTTTCAAATGAAAGGACATTTGGGCAACCTAGATCAGATAGTTGATGATTTATTCTCCAAGACTTGCTGAGTTTTTCTGCCTTCACCGTTCCCCAGAGTTTGAACCAAAGCCAGTCTTTGCTGACTTGAGGACAAAGTGTCTGTCACCAACAGTTCTGTGTGATCATCTCATGGTCCTCAAACATCATCTCTGTTTATTTTTCCTTATCAAAAGATACCTTTCTGATTGAGATGCACTGATCAAATGATAGAATATTTCTCCTATTTGAATAAATCTCTATTACTCAAATCCAGCATTATTTTTATTTTACTATATGGCGCCTCTGACAGAAAGTAATTTAATAGAAAAGTGCAGAGATCTTCAGTAAAAATGTGTTGAGTTCAGTATTTCATGGGAAGAAAATTTCACCAAAAATTCAGGGTCCTAGACTTGGGAGACAGCACGGGGTAAGAGTGCTTGCTGCACAAGCCTGAGAGCCTAAGTTTAAATCCTCAGGACCCACATAACTCCAGCACTGTGGCATGACAGAAACTGGAGGATTGCTGGACTTTGCTGGTATCAGTATCAGGCAGTTCAGTGAGATACTCTGTCTCAAGGCTAGACACAGAGTGAAAAGTAGAATGCCTGGCACAAACCAGTGTAGGACAAACACCACAACACGTACACCATACATACCCACACACACACCAAGAAAGACTTCAGGGCCCTATCCAGCTATCTACCACCTATTATATAGAATAGATATGTGTGTGCATACACACATACACATATACACACATATACATGGCAAGAAATATATGTGCTATTTCCCTATTTCTATATATACATATCTGTTCATTTATTCATTCAATTTGTCTGTATTGGTTATTATTAATTGTCAGCTTCTTAGAATCTAGACTCACCATGGAGATGGGCCTCTGGGCATGACTCTGGTTATGCCAATTGACAAGGGAAAGTTGTCTTAATTATGGATGGGACGATTTCCTGGGAAGGGTATCCTGGGCTGTATAAAGTGATAAGGCAAACTGGGCGTGCATTCTTCTCTCTCTGCTCCTGTTTACTTTGGATGGCATATAACCAGCTCTCTCAGGCTCTTACCCTTCTGACTTCCTGACATCATGGACTGCACCCTTGAATTTTGAATCAGAATGAATCCTTTCTTTTCTGGGTTGCTTTCATAAGGGTATTTTATCACAGAAATGGGAAAAGAAACTAAGACACTATGCATCTTTCTATTTATCTACCAGACGCTCATCTTAAAAATGCTCTGGAAGTTATATGGTTGTCATGGGGATATCTCTTAACATCTACAAGGCATCTATTAACAGCTACAAAGTTTTTAATAAACTGTTACCTCTGTTGCCTTTTATAAATATTAAACTCATGATGAAATTTTTAGCTGTATTTTTAAAAAGGAAAAGAGATTATATGGACTTTTAATTTGTTTGTTTTGTTTTTTGTTCATTGGAGACAGAATCTCATATAGCCCAAGCTGTCCTCAAACATGATATGTAGCCTAGGATAACCTTGAACTTCTGATTCTCCCACCTCCACCTCCCAAGTGCTGAGGTTAAAGATATGTACCATACTGCTCATAAAAGACTTATGAGATTCAGGCCTATAGAGATAGCTCAGTAGGTAAAGGTGCTTGTTGCCAAACCTGACAACTTGAGTCAATCCCTGAAACACACACGGTGGAAAGAGAGAACCACCTCACACAAGTTGTGTTCTGACCCCCACATGTACACTGTGTCATGTGCATGCCTATACACATTTGCATGCTAAATAAATAAATATTAAGAAATTTGTATAATTCTTATTAAAACAAAATAAATTGAAACCCAATAGTTGATCTGAGGGACTAACTAGAACATGTACGGGAAATGGTTTAAGGAATCATTCTAATCAGTGATTTTTTTTTTAACTTTTACAAAAACTTTCTTGAGAATTTCATACATGTATATAAGGCATTTTGATCAAATCCATGCCTACTTCCTCCCCTCCAACATTCCCCCTCTGAAGAGGTAACCCTAAATTCTTTTAAGGATTAGATACAAGCTCCCAAATACTTTTGACATTTTTGGCCTTTGGAACAGAGTATATTACTAAGAGGCCCAAGGACATTTTGACTTTTAGGCAAGAAACTGGCTACTTTTCGTTGGGGTCTTTTTATACTAACTGCCTAGTCAATTCCTACCTTGTATTCCTATCACACCATCCTCTGAAGAGGTTACCCAGCTTACCGATAGGGAATCGGGAAGCAGACCGCTCTGGCTTCTTCCATGCTGAATAGGGGCACAGGGTGAGGTAATTGGGGGTACCCCTTCAGTGTGTTTATCTAAAAGACTCCCAAATTGCATAACTCTTATCTGTAGGGAAAAGAAAGTCCTTGACTAGTGAACATGAAGGAGAAGTAAAGGCAAGAGTAATTGGCATTACAAGTTCTAGACAGGGAACTAGAAAAAAGTCAGAACAGGGCAATTGTCAAATGTTCATATGAAAGTCCATTGGAGTTTCTTGACAAGGGCTTCCAAAAGCATCCCTCTATTGGGTTCTTCCTCTTT